CTGGAGCAGGAAACCTCGGTGCGTCAGGCGCGAATGCAGGAGATCTATGATTGCGTTCAAGAGCTCAGCGCGCAAATCGAGAAGCTTGAAGCAGGTGTCCTGTAGCTCGATTGATACAGCACTCTTTTTGGATCCTTGTGTCGCAAGCTTCAGCATGAGCATGTGATGGCATCATATTATGATAGTGTAACCCGACTCAGCATTGCCGCCTGGAAAGTTACACCAGCAGCTACTGCAGGCGGCCTGCATGGAGACCGCAGACCTCATGTTCTGAAGTTGACTCCATGTTGCTGTCGCCATCTGTTGGACCAGCTGATGCTGCGGACATGGTGCACGACTTGCAAGTGTGGCTTTGATTTTCTGCTTCAGCACACGCTTGTTGTTATTCCCTATGCTGCATCTGTTAATTGCGCATCGGGGGCCCAGAAGTCCAGAAGGTGCCATGTGCGTAGGGGTGGTTGTCAACATGATGGTCGCTTTTTTGAATCCCTAGTATAATACGGCACCTAATATTTAGGGTACCCAAAAAAGGAATATATTTTGACAACCACCCATAGGGCGAAACCAAGGCAAGTTGGAGAGTTGGAAGTTACAAGCTCCTTCCGACATCAGAGACTTCAGGGCCGCACACATGGTCAGTTTTTCGCCAGTTCTCATTTTATCTGATTGCAGGGCTAAAGCTGCATGCGTGGTTTAGAGTTTGATGGGCTGAAATGAATCCCTTCCCCCCAATATAGCCACGCTAATGTCAAATGTTTTTGCATGTTCCTGAGATGCAGGAAGTGACCTCCCTAGGGGGTCGTTAAAAGGAATCATAAGGAGGTGGGGATCTCCTTTGTGTATTCAACGTTTGTTTTTAGATGTCTTTTATCAATAAAGGAATGTAGACAACAGCAGACTTGATTAATCCGAATTACGGACCTCTTCATCAATCATACAGAACTAATGGGTCTGTTTGAAGTAATTAAGAGTTACTTAATTGATTTCAACTCAAGTAAGTAATTCCAATCATGTAATCAATTCGCATTCACGGGTTAGTTTGAATGAATGCGTTCGAAATGATAATAGTAATACATAATATCAGAGGGGCGCTGTGGAAAGCGATTGCAGTTCCAAGGAATACAAGAACTGGCTTCAGCTATCAGTGAAGTGCAGACTCAGCTTCAGGAGGTACGAGGGCAGAGCTGGATCCAAATTTTGCCAGTTGCTGGCGTCAATTGTTGAAGCACCTGCACACCAGCGCCAGGTGGGGGCAAGGGCTTCGGCTATGGAGGTAGACGCGCTAAAGCTGACATCAGAAATTGAAGACATCCGACGCCATGCAACTTGGCGGCCTTGGCGACGTTGGCGGCTTGGCCTGCGCAGTCTGTGGCAAGTTTTCAGCATGCTTGACCAAGGTGGGAGCCCGGCCACCCGAGGCTCTGGCTTCCCACGTGAGCTCACGTTAGGACTTGGCTACAGACATGTGGAAGGAAGCCTCGGCTGCTCGCACATCCTCAATGGACCTCCAGGCGCCGTTCAGGGTCATGCATGCAGGCATACAGATGAGACGCACGAGATTTCAGGTCGCAAAGGTCTTGGACCGAGCTACCGACAACTTTGTTTCGCTCCTTGAGCTGCTCGGCGAGGAGGATTTGGTGAGCGGTTGTCACACGGAAGAAGTGCGCTGAAAGGAAAACGAACCGCCGGCTGGATGTCGCGATCACAAAGTATCGCTCTGAGGACCATACATATCAATGTTGCACGCTTTAACTGTAGAAAGGAGGATCCCAACCTAGCCTGACAATGGGCCCCAGAACATCACAACTTGGCATCCTCAATAGGTAGTGGACGCCCAAACTGCAACGTTTTCAAGAGGGGGTTTAAGAGGGTCTCCGTGAAACTAAAAACGTCCGCCGAAGCACATGAAAGAGGGTTTCTAGGCCAATGTGAGTGCCACATCGTGTCCCCCTCTGCTGGCGATGAGCAGGACCAGCGGGGTGCCGAAGGCTCACATGCCAGACCTGTCACCCATGCTGCAGCCTACTGGCATGCGACAGGTGCAACGGACTCATCGGACGTGGTGCGGCTTCTTCACAGTCTCAGGTGCTACTGTAGAGCTTTGACTTATATTGAGATGATCTGCGACAGTCAAAGCTAAGGCATGAACACCGCCTCGAAGCCGCAGCACTTTGGGATGGTGCCCCGGAGAAATCACATCCACGAATTATCCACACGGACGTTGATCTGTAGGTGGGTGCGTGTCTGGCTAGATACAGGCAGACTCGGGGGGAGCGGGACGAGGATTCACCCACAAGCTTGATACGGACTTCAGATGATTCGCCAAAGCCACGCTCAGAGTCAGAATGCATCACCACATGACCCCGAACTTGATACATTTCAAGCGACTGCTGTCACATGTTAAGATCTGCCATGCTGTGACAACCAAGATGATTATACCCATTTTCTTGGTGACATCTCTTGGCGTTTTCATTCACAGAGCACCTGGCAAAGAGGGCGCAGTGTCGTGCCACCTTGCGCGAAGGCAAACATGCCGGCAACAACTTGTTACCCAGGCTTGGCAGACCTTGCAGACCACATCGGTGCAGATGTTGCGCGCTTCGTGCAGGCTTGCAAGAGTGCACGCTGAGTTCAAAGTTCGAATCAGTAAGCAAGCCACTGCGCGATGCAACGATAAAGCGGAGTTCTCATCATGCCAGAGAGGCAGACGATGAGCTCCCCGAGAGGGGCATCAGCGAGGACACCTGAAGTTGTTGCGAGTCGCTAGTAGCTTTGTTTGCTGCCGACCTGCCCTGATTCAGGGGATGGCAGCGGGCGACGCTGCTTCATCTCCATCCAGGGCTCCGGTGCAGGCTGGGCTGCCCTTTCGATGTCAGCCCTTCCAACACGGCAGTGGATTGGCTTGCAACGATCATTCAGATTGTGTGACTCGAACAAGTGGGCACCACGGGAGGGATCTAATCACACACCAATTCCGTTCATTGGTAAGTTACTTGGCCTACTTGCACTTGCTCCGCTAGCCTGATTTGCTTCTGCAATGCAAGCAGCATCAAGCTGGGTGGCTGCATCAATGCCCCCTGTCCCTTCCGTACCCTGCATGGTCATGGTCCCTGTACTTGGTGGTTGCATCAAGCTTTCTTCTGCCTTTGTTGTGGTACGCACGGTACAAACAGCATCATCATCTTGGTTCCTCTGCATGGGCTTGGCGTAGATAATATCATGCCGGGTGGTTGCAGAAGGCCTCCCTACGCCTGCAGTGCTCACCACTTACTGCAAGTGAATGGCAGCGTCAAACCTCCATTCTCCTTTGGCGTTCACCACTCGGAGCAGCATCATCATCATCATCATCATCATCTGTGAAAATGGTAGC